GTATATCAGACGGCGAAACTATCTAAACTACTGTTGCTTATGGAGAGTGGCCAATCAGACGCTTATAAAGGCAAATGTTTAGATGACATAAACTTAGATTTAGAACAAGATTTACTGGAAAATGCAGAGGACCACGATAATTATGACGAGTTAATAGAATATGATGCTGCACTTCCATCTGAAAAGTCGAATGAAAAGTCAGATTTCACAGAAGATAACCCTGTCATTCCTCCTATGTCAACTCCGCTTACCGATGTTACCAATGCGGCAAATATCAAAACAAGAAAACAACGAAAGCTCGTTCCTTGGACCACAGAACAGAAAAATATAGTTAAAAAGTTTTTTAGCAAACATATTAAAAACAAACAGCCACCAAAACGCCATGAGTGTGAGGAACTTCGAAGTCATCATACAGAAATTCTACACAACAAAGACTGGTTAAAAATCAAAGTTTTTGTCCAAAATGCCTATACAAAATACAAATAATAATATTCAGAATGCCTCGAACGGATTACTGTGGTATTTATGTATGGTTTCGTATGTATTTGTATTTTAAAACATTGACGGCTGTCGAAATTCCACCTCACTCATTATACAATTTAATGATTGACTGGATTCATAAATAATATTTAAATCACTATGTTTCTACGTTTAAATGAGTACCCATAAATTTTAGTGTCATTTCAAACAGTTTTCTTAGTAAATAACCTAAAAATATAACATTAATAATAAAACTAGAAAATGTATATGAATAAATTTAAAATAAAGCGAGAGGGAATTTTGACTACTGACAGCGGTTTCTTTATATTATTATATTCAAGTCTACTCAAGGGAGTAGATATGTGCAGGGGCACATCTATCTTTAAACTTTCTTTTTATTTTTGACGAGTGATGTAGCTTTAATTTAGTACTCAAGGCACATTTTGGTGATCAGTTTACAAGGTGTTAGTAATGTTACTTTTAAAATTGTTTTCGTATCCTCACATATATATAACTAACACATAATATATACATTAAGATATCCTCAACTCTCATAGTAAATGATATTTGGCATATTATGAAAAAATCTATAATGTGGCGTCCACATCCACAAGTATATATATGTGGACGCCAGATTATATTTTTATTTCATACTACACGGTATTTTAACATTAAACAAGGCGTTCAACAGCCTGAAAGAGCATAACTTGCTATTTCGTAAGCGACCCATAATTACGTTTGAGTATAAATTACCTTCTGATTGATTACAGGAAGATGGAGTCAATTGTAGATATTGACAGATTTTTAAATAGAGGTTTGTTTTATTATATTCTGACTAACAACCTAATATGGCCTTGGGAACAAACTCATTTTAATTTAAGGTTTTACTGCATTAATTGCCATTGGGTTGTTAATTTCAACAATAGACCGTGGCATATCGTTGCTGACATGAATAGTCCTGAAAATATAATTTATTTACTTAATCGTGTTGAGTTTTGGTGCTCTTACTGCGAGTTTACTATTTATGATCACTATCTAAGAGAAGAGTGCGAATATTGTACCTGATCTGTTCGACATTACTATTTACTTAATTTGATTCCTTTTGTAAGAGGCTATTTTTGTTAAATTATGTGGATTTGTTTTGTATTTAGTTAAAATATAATTATTATGGTTATTTTTAATATGGACGCTATATTACTAAAAATATGGATATCGTGTGTTGTTTGGTACATCAAGATTTTTTCATGCTTATGTTTGATTGTGTCTAATTTTCTGTAGTGAAATTAAGCAATTTAGGTTAATAAACCTATTGCAGTTGATTAATGTTATCTGATATCTTATAAGCTTTATACGGACGTAAAAATACTTTAAAATTTCACACTAAGTTTTATTTGACGTCCATTTCTTTGAATCCCACGTCCAATGTTGTTGTTGATTATTGCGTTTTACTATTTATTTAGGTATTATTTATTTACTGCTTAGGGCATATTTTGGTAGTACATATTTTTATTGGTTTATACTGGTCACAGTGCTAGTACTTTTACTTTTAAACTTGTTTTCGTATCCTTTTATATCTTCGCTTTTATTAAGTTACACTCAGTTATATGGGCATTCGAATACCCTTTAACTTTCATACTATTTAATATTTGACGTCCAAATTTATTTTTATACACCTAAGTGTAGATGTGGACGTAATAATATCAGTGAAGTTTCATACCGCACGATATTTCACGTCCATATAATCATGAACAGTTTTCGTATTTTAATGGAACAAGTGAAAAACTATTTTAATAGCAGTTTACGGTGTTGTTTTATATGTATAATTAGTGTATGGATCGGAAGCCATGTTGTTATAAAATTTTCACATCACAATATCTGTGTCCTCCATTCAAAAACGAAAGTGGTTGTTGGGGGCATTCTGTGTGACTAAAAATTAGCTCTTAATTATTACCTAAGTCACTTCAAGTGTGAAATTGTCTTGTTAAATATGTTTAATAAAATCATTATTATAAATATCTACCTCATAGAAAGTAGATGTCTGATTAATAAACGTTTGATTTGATTGCAATATTTGTTTTATTACATCAGTATTTAATTCTGTAAATACAAAATAGGTCTATCTATTAGTTTACATCATATATTATGATCCTACCTACCTTCATACATACCTTCCTATTTATCGAACACCTATAAATATTACCAGCTAGCGGACGCTTTGCACGGATGCGCATTTATTTTTAAACAGTTTTGTAAATGTATCTCTAAACTTATTTTTTTTCAAATTGTCATTTATTTTTTCTTAAAAACTAGTATTTTTTATACATTAAACCTTTTTTTATTTGAAATTTTTTCATTTAACATTTTATTTAACAAATCTTTGCCCGCGGCTCTGCCCGCGTTGATGGCGTTTATCGCTGTTTGGAAAAAAACTCCAGGAAAAACTTATTTTTCCGGGATAAATAGTAGCATATGTGTTAATCCAGGCTGGCAGCTACCCCCATAGCAAATTTTATCCCAATTGGTCCAGCCGTTTGAACGTGAAGAAGTAATAAACATACAAACACACAAACTTTCGCTTTTCTAATATTAGTAAGTATTTAATATCCTAGCACATTTTTTTATTAAATCATCAATAATTTCCGCAGCATATGCGGTAAAAGACAATTTATGGCTTTAATTTTAACACATTGAATTACAATGATTGAAGTTTTAGTCGGGATCTCTAATTTTTTATAGTAAATAATAGCTTATGCCACTCAGAGATAATGTAGCATTCTAATGGTGAAAGAAATCGGCCCAGTAGTTTTTAAGTTTAATTCTTGCAATCATACAAAAATAGTCATATTTTAGTCTTTATAATATTTGTGTAGATAAATAACAAAGCAGAATAACTAATAAGAGTGGCAACGTCGCACTATACAAAGGAATCAAGGTAAGCAGGAAAATGAATTTAAAATAATGTATATCACGGGAATTCTGAAAGGTGGCAATATGGATAGGAGTCCTTATTGGTTTCATTCTGTCTGGCAATATACGAATATTTGTATACCAGTATGTGATAATTATACATAAAAAAAAGTTAAGTACTATTTTTCAAATAGTTTAACCGACCAATATTCGCTATGATAATGTTAAAAAATGAACTGCAAGTAGTGGACGTTACAATAATGCGAAATGAAAGGACGTTGGATCAGTTGTGTGATGTATATATATATATATATATATATATATATATATGAGTTGATATATATATAATAAATGTACCTTGTTTTTAGCGAGTTTCCGGTATTTCAGCACTGTTGCAAGCGTCATGAACTCGCTACTCACATTACTATAATGTTAGTGACCATGAAAGTTTAAAACAATATATTGTATATATCTATTTTTAAACTTTACTACTAGGGCCGCACTGGCTGGTGCGGCGACTGTGACGATTTTGTGAAAACAATGGCCCTATTTCACCAAGTCGAGATATGTCACTGACATATATGTTTGTTGTGGGATGATCTATTTACTGCTCCAATTAATTAAATGATATGATACTGGATTTGCTCACGCGGAATATTTCTTTGAAAGCAAAATCAGTGATATTAAAGGAAAAAAAATATTTGTTGTTTATAAAGTCTCCTATATAAGAACTCATCTTTTCAAGCTTTCGCGGAGAGCCATTTGTAACTAAAAAAATGAAAACACATTTTTAATACAAATCTGATACAGCCCCGCTCTCACATCAAGATAAATTAATGAACTAAAAGAATGCCTTGTTTCATTTCTTAAAAAAATGTCGTTGAAGGAAGTAATGTATGAAAGGGTATATGCATGATTAGTTTCATATATTTTTTTATAGTTTACATTCCCAATAAAAATTTAGAATATCGAAAAAATTGTGTAGTCTTGACAAAAAATAAAAATGGCCGCTAATGCACAGGCGTTTTAAACGCTCGCTATTTTGGAAATCTTGGTGTTACGTCACAATATATAGCAACCTAGAAACAAAACAAACAAGTATCAGAAGGTTAAGTGCGCGCACCACTCACTCGCACTAGTTCTCGTTGACTTCGACATATCCTGTGAACATGGCGCTTGCTTATTGATTTGTTGTTATATAGGTCTTCGTCATAAGCGCTCTGTCTCGTTTCATAAACATATTTGAATTTCCCACAAGTTTTTTCGCACAATTCAATATTTAAATTTCTTGCTCAAAAAGAAATTTCATAAAATATTTATGAAGGGACAATTCAAATAAAATCAAGTTTATATACAAAAAGTATGAGCCTTATTTGAATTACATGCAATTCCTTATTGTAACAAAATACCTGTCTTTTTTTATGACACATGTCGGTGACATATATCGACTTGGTGAAATAGGGCCTAGGTATTTCTGCTTATACTGCGCCGTAGCGTCGAATCGTACCAGTGCGGCCTCATCCTTAACGTTAGCATTCGATAACGGTAACTTTCGGAAGCCTCCTTTAAGTCCACTGTGTAGAAAGTTAATGAATATAACTGTACGAATATAGGTGTGATACCCATCGAAGGCCACATCCCGTCGTTGACGGACCCCCGATTCCCAAACTACCTGGTAGTAGGACCAATGGCGAGGAAAGCTGAAGACTTGCATCTGCTCATGTCAATCATGACAGTGAATAAGGCCAAGATGAGGCTGGATACACCCGTCGACTTGACGCAACTCAAGGTGAGCTATAGAAATCAGAAATCAATATATTTTTATTCGAATTGGATGTATAGTACAATGTATGTAGTAAGTAGTTGGATGTATAGGATAGAAAAGGGGCATTTATATTAAGAACTTGACGCAACTTAAGGTGAGTATAGGGTAGAGTTTTTCTTCTTATGCTTCAGTATCTATCTATCACAATATTCACTCAAATGGTTTTCACTATCACCAGGTCAGTTATGACCGCGGCAAATAAAGACAAAATGAGGCTCCACACACTCGTCGACTGGATGCAACTCAAGGTAGTAGGGCCGATGTTAGTGAAATTTGCAGAATACTTAGGCTCGTATTACAGAATGACAACTAAGTGTTAATCTTTACTTGAGTACAGTTATAAAGGGATTTCACTATGTATAGCACATAGCGACATCCCTTATCTCATCCAGTAATACGAGCCTTAAACTTGGTCATGTCGATTAATTAATTGGCGCATCTTGACAACTGCTAATGCTGCCAGTCGATTCTTATACGTTTCATGGAATTATTTCACAATTAACTACATCAACTCAATATGTTTTAATATTCCATCAATCTCGACAACCTGATGTTTCTTCAATCCACGTGGATCCACGTGTATCCCAGTATGGGATCTCGCTCCATCATGATCACGTATCGGATATGATAAAATACGGGCAGTATTTGATGAAATACTGCCCGTTATCTAGCAACACCATCATCCAGGGAATGTGACCCCGTGTATGTAACAGATTGTCACCGAAGTGCCCGTTGATGAGGATTAGCATAAGGACCGTACTTGCCGATGTTCGAATAGTCGCGTCGCGCCGGCCGCTAGTAGTCTATAATGGATTATTTTTATTAATAACTAGCGGCTGACCGCGTCTTCGTACGCGTGGAGTTAGTTAGAAATTTCGCTGCTCGTTCCCCGTAGTTGATAGCGTGATAATATGTAGCCTATAAAATATGTTGACCCGACTTCTCAATAATATTCGTGCCAAATTTGAAGTAAATCCATGCAGTACTTTTTGAGTTTATCCCGGACATACATACAGACAAACAGACATAATTCTAAAATCTATATTTTAGGCATCGGTACCGATTATAGATCACACCCCAAGTATTCTTTTAAAAAAACATTCAATGTACAGTTTGACTTTCATACCATTCTATTATATGTATAGATACTGCCTAGAATAAAAACGACACAAACAAGAGCACAGAAGATAATCAATCTAGCGGTCTCCATCGCCTAGCACTGCTCGATCAAATGGCATGAAACAGTTTAAGGCAGAGGAGCCGTCTAGACTATTCAAAAGTGTAGTAGTGATTATCCAATCGGCTTTCAACCTCAATGGTTGGTTTCTGGTTCCAAATCGATTTTCAGAACTTTAGTCCTGTGGTATTTTTATCTCAGACACACGAAGAGGACACAGAGGAACCAAACAATCCGTTCTCAAGATGCATTCTAAAATCATATCAGCAACGCTCTCAATCAAACAATTAAAGAAAAAAACATGACTATTGTGGCATGATTCTCTAAACTTAGAACTTAATTTAACATCGGTCTTCCCTTCCTTCTCATTCTGTGTAGAGAATGACAAGGGATGCACTGTTGTCAAATTTAATTTTAGGTTCAGAGAATCGTGCCCAACGCGTCACCATAGTCATGTTTTTTTTTCTTTAATTGTTTGATTGCGAGCGCTTTTGATACGATTGAAGAATGCATCTTGAGAACGGATTGTTTGGTTCGTCTCGCAAGGATCTTTACACTAGCTCCAATCCCTTCTACGACACATAACCATCTATACATATAATTAAATGGTAGGAAAGTCAAAACTGTACATTGATTTTTTTTAAAAGAATACTTGGGTTGTGAAGTACCGAAGCTAAAAACATAGTTTTTAAATTTTTTGTCTGTTTGTCTGTATGTATGTCCGGGATAAACTCAAAAAGTACTGCATGGGTTTACTTCAAATTTGGCACGAATATTATTAAGAAGTTGGGTCAACATATAGGCTACATATTATCACGCTATCATCTACGGGGAACGAGCAGTGAACCTTCATTTCTAACTAACTCCACGCGTACGAAGTCGCGGGCGGCCGCTAGTTCTATATATAATCTATAATAGATCACTTAGTAGGGCAGTTGCTTTACAACCAAATATCACAGATTCGAGGCTTGTCTTACGTCACCTGAGAGAAGAATTTTGTTTTTGAACAATTTTCTGAAAAATTTTCAAGTTTTTCATTACATATTTTCCTAGGTTTACTATATGACTGAGGCCACCATCTCACCAGCTCTGCTAGACGTCGACCCAGCAATCAAGGATAGAATCAGAAGTGCAGCGAAATATTTGGAAACGGAATGCGGAGCTACAATATACGAGGTGATTTTATAAAAAAACTAGCTGAGCCAGTGAACTTCGAACCGCCATAAAAAATAGGGGTTGGCTGTAGAAGGGTGAATATTAGGATTGTATGTATTTTTGTGCGATGTATCATAAAAAATAAAAACAAAAAATTTTGTAATAAAAAATTTTTTTTTTTTTAAATTAAATAAAAAAATTAAGGGTGGACCTTAACATTAAGGGGGATGAAAAATAGATGTTGTCCGATTCTTAGACCTACTCAATATGCATATAAAATTTCACGAAAATCGGTCGAGCCGTTTCGGAGTAGTTCAATTACGAACACCGTGTCACAAGAATTTTATATATTAGATTATGCCTCTTTTATATCCGAGAAAACTTTGGCCTCAACTTATCGCGCGCTTGATAGAATACTGACCTATCAGAAATTAAGTCAACGCTGAATAACGTATACAGTATAACCACAGGTAAAATTATGTTAACAACGGATTCGCATTATTTTTGTACACTATATGTATAGTTTAAAAGGAAGGTCTCGTTGACGCTCCAGCCATAATTATAATAAATAAATATTTCCAACAAAAACACCAATTAGCCTAGCCCCAGCGTAAGTACTATAAGGCTTGTGGTATGGTACTAGGGTAACGGATAGAATACTTATACTGTCCATATATAAGTATGTTTTTAAAGAAATACATATTAAACATCCACTGGACACAGACTGGAGTACAAATGCTCACACAAACATCTGCCCCCACCGGGATTTGAACCCGGACCTCTCGAGTCGGCGACACCATGAAACCCGGCCACTCGGCCACGAAGATCGTCAGAATTGCACGTTAATAGAATAATATAAGATGGCGTTAGCAGTTTAGCACAAGCTTTTTTCTGTGTCTTAACTATTAATAGATCAGTATTCGATTAAACATGCCAAGTCAAATGTGATATTGAAATTTACAAATAGTAAATTTCAATACCACATTTGACTACAAATAGTAAATTTCAATACCACACTTTAAAGTACGGTTTTTTTGCAGGAAAAATTCAAAGACTTGGAAGATTCGGTTGAAATATCAGTGTCAGAGTTCTTCTCTATGAGAGATATTCCTAACATGTTACAAGACCCCGCGGATCCAAAGGTAACGTATACATTCTAGGAACTTTGTAATAAAACAGATTAAATTTTAACTAGATAAATATATGCACACCAGACTAGACTTCAAAAATTTCGATCATTGATATATCATGGATATAGGTGCCACTATCTTACTATGGGTACGTGTCAAACGCATAATTGAAATTTTGTATTTTTGTAGTACTATTATGTTAATTTAATGTATTTTGATTGTATTATTATACATTCTACTATATCATCATAATGTTGTCCAGCGATATACAAAAGCCTATGCCTGGAGTTATTGAAGTACTTATTCGGTGGCGGCAGTATATAGCTTCACGCTCATCAGCCAGAACAATCTGTTCACACCCGCCTCCAGACGATCGTACAATCACACAATCTGTTCACACCTGCCTCCAGACGATCGTACTATCACACAATCTGTTCACATTCGCCTCCAGACGATCGTACTATCACACAATCTGTTCGCATTCGCCTCCAGACGATCGTACTATCACACAATCTGTTCACACCCGCCTCCAGACGATCGTACCATCACACAATCTGTTCACACCCGCCTCCAGACGATCGAACTATCACACAATATGTTCACATTCGCCTCCAGTCGATCGTACTATCACAAAATCTGTTTATACCCGTCTCCCGGCGATCGTACTATCACACAATCTGTTCACACCCGCCTCCAGACGATCGTACTATCACACAATCTGTTCACATTCGCCTCCAGATGATCGTACTATCACAAAATCTGTTTATACCCGTCTCCAGGCAATCGTACTATCACACAATCTGTTCACATTCAGGCGAATGTGATAGTACGATCGTCTGGAGGCCCAGACGATCGTACTATCACACAATCTGTTCACATTCGCCTCCAGACGATCGTACTATCACAAAATCTGTTTATACCCGTCTCCAGGCAATCGTACTATCACACAATCTGTTCACATTCGCCTCCAGACGATCGTACTATCACACAATCTGTTCACATTCGCCTCCAGACGATCGTACTATCACACAATCTGTTCACATTCGCCTCCAGACGATCGTACTACCACACAATCTGTTCACATTCGCCTCCAAACGATCGTATTATATCTGTTCATACCCGTCTCCAGAATATCGTACTATCACAAAATCTGTTCATACCCGTTTCCAGGCGATCGTACTATCACACAATTTGTTCGTACCATCATTATTGCATTTTTGATAGTTTATTTTGTGTACTACTTCTGTAATCTTATGATTGTATTAAACGCATGATTTTTGAAACGCAAGAAAACTTTCTCTTTCTTGTTCAGCGCGACAAAAGCCTATGGCTTGAGTTGTTGAAGTGCTTATTCGGTGGCGGCAGTAGATCGCTGCAGGGGCTCGGCTTCACGCTCATAAGCCGGAATAATCTGTTCATACCAGCCTCCAGGGGATCCTACTATCACGCCAAAGCTAACCAGCTGAAAGACGATTTGAAGGTAAGTCTTACCATCTAAGGCTACAAACTGTCTTGGTATTGTTACGTGTCGGGATGGGGTTCGAAATTATATGCCAGTTCACGCTTGACAGTTCTTTATTCACCACTCAGTTCACACAATTAACACACAATGTTAATTACAAAACACTCACTAAACACTGTATTTCACTATACAAGTCTCTAAACAATCTCACTTGAACACTTTTGTTGCACTTTGATCGCCTTTGGATTCGCTCCGAAATCGCTGTTGAAACTCAACTGTTTCTGCGCGGCGCCAATCGCGCTTATGTACGCCGATCGACGCATTCTAGAAAGAACCTGTTAAATTGAGAATTACCTAGCACCCGCGAGTACGAAATACCTACTTATACCTACGCATGTAACACGCATAACTTGTAAACAAGTGCAGATATCGTTGCACTTTCTCCCTTACGTCACACTGCATAATGCTCATTTTAGAATGAGCCGCATTACTCGACCTCTATCGCGACCCGCGGTGCTCTGGCAAATTCGACCTTTAGCACATTCGCGGTTCCGTTTCGAGAGCGTTTGTGACAGTATCCAAATCAAATCATCTTTATTGCGAATACAGGTTACATAGTTATAACACAAATACATTTAAGTACAGTACAGCCATATTCTGCCTTATCGGCATGCAATATAATACTTCTATAAATCATTAATTATTGCAATGTCAAATTAATAAATTCATAGTTTATTCAAAATGTCAATAAACGATAAAAAGACAAGTCCAAAGCTGAGAGACATTTGAGAATCAAGTATTTGAAAAAACTATTGCTTGTCAAGCAAAAATACCGTTCGATTGCGACGACAGTATTTAACGCTGGTAATTGCGAATAAAAATTGCAAAATTCGAGGTTTGGCTCTCGACAATTTCCTCCTCGAAAATTAGATACTACATTCACCCGGATAGCGAAGTGTGCGGGTTCGAGTCCCGCGTGCTGCCTGGTCCGCATGATTTTTTTCTAGTAAAATTTTCTTTAGATTCAAAATTGATTTAACATTGTAACATAATATGAGCAGCTGGCAAAACAAACGGTATAATTACGCATCTGGTCAAATTACTTTTATTACAGCCGGATGTTTCCGGCCCGTTGATTTGAATCTCAAATAATTTTCAATTTAAACCGCTTAAAACAGAGTTATTATTACTAAATTTATGAATTAAAAACCATGCCAAAAGCTCACTGTACTTATGTCATTTAGTTTTATACAGCTCCTGTAAAATTTAATTTTATGTAATTGAACTGTTGGCCGCCGAATTTCACTTGTGCGATTTAGGCTTCCATACTATTTGAGTGCAGCGCCGGTAGCGCCATCTCTTGAAGAGGCGAGTGATTATTTCCTCTATGTTCATTATATGTGGGGCATGTAGATGTCGCCGCGACAATACCGTTTCGTTCGCCAGCACCTCAAATTGATTGATTGAGATGAAATTGATATGGTAATATAATATAATATAATATAATATGTAAGCAGGTGTAATTTTTTTATTTTATTTAAACAAGCTTGCTTTTACCAGAGAACACTCGGCGATAACGGCGTATTCCTATACCCCGTATACCATTCGACTGCACATTACCATCATCAAGTATTCTTACGAGCTTCAGGGGTTTTATATACAATGATGTTCAACATATTAGGCATGCCAGCCACTTCTGTACCAACTGGCTTGCATAAAGGACTCCCGACTGCTATACAGGTCAGTTTATAGGTCATTTAGGTCAGTAAACATAGTGTTTTACAGGTCGTAAAGGTCAGAAAAAAGTGAGGAGCTTGAGTTAGCGCGTTGCCTACTACAGAAATGTTGATGACTTAGGAAAACTATAATGAATAATTATTTCCAATACTAAATTTGTGATAAGCAATATTTTTGTATAAAAACCCGCGTTTTCAATATTACAATCAGTCTTGTTCTGATTTGTGGAATAGGGATGATGACTATTTTTTTTTCTTTTTTACATAATATAAACATTGCAGAGATATATAGATTTGGAAAGTCGCATGACGTCACGTTTGAGTGCACTTTTAAGCGAATATTCACTAAAAAGTGACGTCACGAGCCCCTACTCCCAAACTTTGACCTGCTATAACTTTGTCATTTTTTAGTTGATTACCCAAAGAAAAAATACGTGTCCATTATTTTTTGATCATCTGACTGACGGACTAAATAGAATTTCGTTTACTGTACCCCGTCATCACCTCTATTGCTGCCCAACAACGGACTTGGTTTCTGCCTGCCGGTTGGCCTTCAGCAAAGAAAGTCTGAGGAACTATTCAACGGCCTAGTAAACTAGCCCGTCGCGAGTCGTTACCCTTAAAACTAAAAAGGAAGTAGTAGTGAACAATAAAGTGATAGCAGTGTAATAACAAACATAAATATATAAATGAAGTGATTGTGAGCAAATAAAGTTTTTTTTAAATCAATCTAAGTGCTCCGTCTAATGGATCGTTAAAGTTAAGCAACTTTCGCAGTGGTCGGTCATTGGATGGGTGACCGAAAATCTTCTATCTCGAGTTCCTCCGTGCTACGGAAGGCACGTCAAGCCGTTGGTCCTGGCTGCATCTGCAGTCGTTAGCACCCGCCAATCTACACTAGGCCCGCGTGGTGGGTCATGGCCCAATCTCCCTATTCCATCCATAGGTAGGCCTGTGCCCCAGCGGTGGGGGCATTATTATGCTGATGATGATGAAAGATCAGAAAACACCGCAATATACAGGTCATAAAGGGTCAGTTAATAGAGCTTAAACATGCTCAGATCGTGCAACATGTCTGTAAACATGGCCGAGGAATTTAATAAATAATAAATAAATTAATATTTCTAACACTCACACCAATTAGCCTAGCCCCAAAGTAAGCATTGTAAGGCTTGTGTTATGGTATACTAGGGTAACGGATATAATACATCTATTGTAAATATATAAGTATATTTATAAAGGAATACATATTAAACATACATGACTGGAGTACAAATGCACGTATTCATCACACAAACATCTGCCCCCACCGGGATTCGAACCCGGGACCTCTCGAATCGGAGACACCATGAAACCCGGCGTATAAACCACTCGGCCACGGAGGTCGTAAAGGACATCGACGAAATCGGCCCTAGCATGCCCAAAAGAATGTCCTTCACTATTATTTTTATATTATTTTTTTAACTTATTAGCAATTAATCATTGTAAACGGACAATCTGTTTAAGAAAATAAAAAATAAAAGTTCTGTTACTAGATACTACAGTCTGTTCATCCAACTTGGCACTCCTTTTTATTGAAAATACAGCATTAAAAATCAACTGATAACTAGATTCAATAGGTTTCAGTCTATAATAACGATTTATTTAAATAGTTTATTGGCTTCGTTAATATTTTATTATTAAACGGGTGATTCTGTTAAAAAGTTGTGTCAAGATTGTTTACCTTAATGAATGCAATATAGGCGACCATAGGTATTTATCAACATAAAAATAGAACTAGGTACCTTAGTCAATAATAGTTATTACTAGTATTTATATTATATTTATAAAAATATTATTTCTGAAATTATGTAAATATAGTTTATACTCCCATCCCATGTAATATCTGTTTATTTTTATGAAAATCATATTGATAACCAGGTACATACCTAATTACCGATAGTAAAATATAGAAACAGGTAAATGGAAAGACTGAACATATCATTTGAAAAGAAATCTATTATTACCTACTACAGGTAGGTATAGGTATCATAGGTGCCAACTGACAACACTCATAAATCAATATGAATATAAGCATTTATTATTTTTATTATTAATTGCATTTTATGTTCATTTAATGCATATTATTTCAGTGCTTACATAGAGGCAAAAACTAAATCTATTCAGAATATATAAAGTGTACATCTTTTACGATTAAGTATAATAATTATAACCTCAAAATCTAATACATTCTGTAGTAGGCCACTGTTCCTCAAGTTGTCCGTATCTCAACAAATGCTTAATTAGAGTTTATGAATGATTCCGAACACAACTAGCATTTTCTCATTGCTGGGCGTTATAGGGCATTCAATGTATGGGGAACGAGCAATGTCCTTTAATGTCAGAATTAACCGCGCTACACAATTGAATAGGTCAGCAAATACGGCAAATAACAAGTAGCTAAAATAAAAAGAAAACGGCCTTCTACCAGAGTGCAGGGCCGGAGTTAGCCCAGGGGCTATAGAGTTTGATATTAAATAGGGTATTTGACAGTATTAAAAATAAAGTGCCAATTGTTAGCATCTGTGTTTAGAATGAATATTGGCAGGGGTTTTTACTATTTTTACAACAAAAATATTCATAATTTTACTAAAAACCCATGAAAAAGATAATAGTTTTCTTATCTATTGTCACGTGACCCAAAACGCTTGGGGATTGGCGGAGCCTAAAATGACGTCACATGCAAGTAAACTTCCGGTTAAAGTGACATTACATTGAATCGTTTGACGTTTTAATATCAGTCGTGTGATGTCACACACTAGTAAGACGCCATATTATCCAGAAAAACGTTTTCGCGGCATCTTGAAGATGGGAGTTTTTGATTTGGTTATTTTTACTGAAATACGCAACAGAATGATGAATATCCACTTTTTACAGACTCCATAAACATAAGTCAATAACGTGTGATCGTTTTCTAAAACTTGTCAAATACCCTATTGCCCGCTAATAAAATTCAAGCATTTTGCAGGACGACAAAGAAAGGTAGACTAAAAATCTGGAGGTGTCACGAAAAAATATAATATTTATTTATTTACCAGGTTGTAGCAGCGCCAAATCAGGACAGATTATGTATTGCCGTCGCCAAACAGCTAGAGATCGCGTTCGGGGGCTGGCGACCCGCCGGGCTATAAACGCCCAGACGCGACTCACCTTAAATCGTAACTTATATCATAAGAGAATGAATATCAACAAACCACAAATATGACGTGGTCGATTTTATACCAGAGAACTATATACTATAATAATAAGATAGTTTCCAATCGTTAGTTTTGTACCTAAATATATTTATACAGTACTTAATAAATATAAAGTGACTTCCAATGAAATTGATCTCTAATTACATAAAAATAGAAGTGAAAATGATTGATGACAAGATTATATTTATGTAAGTAAATATTGCACAGATCTTTTTAACATACAAGTTTATACTGCGCTCAACTTATACTGCTTACATTTCTAATTAATGTATTTAGTAATATCGTGTAAAGAATTATTTTTAAGAAACATTACTGTGATTTTTTTTATATCTTTAATGGTGTTGTAAAGCCCTTTTAATATGTGCGTGTTCTTGTTTAGAATGAAATAGTGAGTGAAATATAAGGAAAATAAACTATTTAAAGATATTTTCGGAAATGTTTAAAATTGTAAGGTTTTTCGAAATAATGATAAATAATCGTTGCACATATTCAAATGGGCCATTGAGAAATATATATTTTATTTTTGTTGGTATTTGGTTATTTTATACGTTATTGTGTAACTTAACCCATTGACTATATTTATATTATATTGATCGTGATTTTTATTATACATTATATTAATTACCTTTGCCTTTTTTAGATAGACAGATAGATGTTTTTTAAGTTAGGAACATTCTTTTGGGTCATTTATTAATGAGATCACATAATAAAAAAAATATACACTCGGCGTCTAAAAAAATCGCACCTCCGCAAAAATATTATTGGTATTATTCTCCAGCGAGAAGTCCAGTAATCTCCAGGAGCTCGAAGAGAAAGTTATTAAGGAATGAGCCAGTATTTATCAAAAAGAGCTAAAATTGTTAAGATCCACGAGCGTATGGAAGCCGTCATCCGGCATGGGGAACCTTTTTATATTGTTTTTTTTTGTGTAATTAAACATTGTTTTTTTTAAGTTTATGCGCGTGTTAAGGGTTAGTAACGCTTGAAAGATATTTTCGCGGTGATGCGATTTTTTTGACGCTGAGTGTATATACAAATAATCCTAAATAACAGTATAGGATCTACTATGTTAAGGGTTATTATTTTCAGTATTTAACATATTTTTTGCTTTTTCATTCTGTATTAAATTACCACATGAAAAATGTAATTTATATTAATGAAATGCTTAATTTAGGTTATGATCGTCGTATATTTGTAAATATGTACAACTTTTTGTTATTTTGAAAATATATTTAATATATTTTACCAGCTTTAGATTTTATATTTTATTGTGAATATGCTCGATGTAGAGTTACACAATAAAGACCCTGGTCATTAACGAGAAATTTTGTCATAAGTAATAATTACTTTTATGACGGAAATAAATGATGTCGTATCCTATAATTATGGCTTATTTTCTCCACCTCCGCTTGATATTTTACTCAAAACGTTTATTAAAGTGCGCTGTTTACCCGTTAAATATTATATATATTGATGACAGTATTGTAGAATATGAACAATCACACTAATATTATAAAGGCGATAGTTTGTGAGTGTGTATGTTTGTTACTTCTTCACGTCTAAACGGCTGGAGCGATTTTAATAAAATTTGGTATGGAGTTAGCTGACAACCTGGATTAACACATAGGCTATATTTTACTGCGGAAAAATATCCCTTATTAACTGCGGGTAATACCGGGGGGCACAGCTAGTCTATATATATAAAAATGAAACCCGTTTTCCGTTGTCACGACATAACATGAAAACGGCTTGACCGATTTGGCTGTTTTTTTTTGTAGTTTTCTAATACTCTGTACAAGGTTCTTACGGAAAAAAATATAAAGAAAATCCCAAGGGGATAAAATAAGGAATGAAAGTTTGTATGAAACTTTATCAATTTTAAACCGATCGGGCTGAGACTTTGCATGCAGGTATAAGAAGAATCATAGATGAATGTCATTGTGTATAATACAAGCCTGAGAACAAAAACTGTAGTCTACACTTCAGCTCTACACCGAAGCGAAGCGAGGGCGGGCCGCTAGTGTTTTATAAAAATGGGCGCATATATTCCTTCCAATATGGGAAACTATAATCTTCACACATCAGCTGCTTATTTTTAAATAAATCAATCAAATTCATATATTGCATGCCACAATAATAATAAAACGAGAAATAAGCTTTGAATACTTACGCCGCGTTTCATATCGCTCAAATACCTTTTGTCATTCAATGAACGGAGACAAAACAAAGTAACTGATATGAACTTATTCTTCGTTTATAATGGACTATTACCCGTGCCGTGGTGCCACCGCTCCGAACTGTGTTCACCAATGAGTCTAATGGGTAATTTATTGTTGTTTTTATTTATTTTTTAAGCATTTAACTGCTAGATTTTTATGTGTTTGTGGGCTACCTACAATGCGAAGAGATAGCGCTGCCTTGCAGCTTAAGGCTAGGAAAATTTCGAAGCAGCCATCAGGGCCGTGGTAGCATAATTGGTCAGTGCATTCGCCCGGATTGCGAAGGGTGCGGGTTCGAGTCCCGTCCGCTGCCTGGTCCGCGTGCATTTTTTTTTCTAGTTAGTTTTCTTTGGGTAATTTATTTATAATATGGTCACAGAGTGGTAAACATTAATTCCAAACTATAGTAATTTTGTGGTGCTAGCGCCGCCTTAGATAGGTATATTCTTGAAAATAAATTGAAATTTTATTTGAATTGAAAACAACGAGTAAATAATTACCCGTGGACCCACTAGGGGGACATGTCGGTGGGTAAAAGCCCCCTTTATTATATATAAGGGGGATATTGTGACACAGTAATGTGATGTTTGAAAGATACATAACTTGAAACTTCCTCAACCATTTCTTTAAGTAGATGCACAAACAAGATAGGACTTTGATATCTATTTATAGGATAAAAGTTTATAATTCATTATAAAAAATAAGTTAGTATATTTAAAAACATATTATATTATTATTCAATATTGTAGAAACTTTTATCACATTTAAATAGGTATATATAACAGGTAGGTAGATATATAAATGAAACATCTCAGATTGTGAGAAACATTTTATTTGCAGTTGTAAAAACTGTACAAGTCCTAACAAACTTATAAATAAACACTATATTATGGACCTTCGCATGGCACTGCTGTAAGCCACAACTCTTGTGATGGACGAATCATCCTACACCACGAGAATAAGTATTAAATGGACACAATGGTGTCGATTCTGGTGTGATTCTCTATACCTAAAATTAAATTTGACAAACAGTTTATCCTTGTCATTCTCTACACAGAATGAAAAGGAGAGACTGATGTTAAATTTAGTTGTAGGTTTAGAGAATCGTGTCAGAATCGACACCATTGTCGACACTGCTTGGCAATTTTATCTTCAGATGACATGTAACATTAACAGAATAGTGCATTTTCATTATAAATAACTAGTGAAAGAGGCACCCGCGTATACGAATCTCGACCTTATAATCTACTGCATTCTCTCGAGATTGTTCGAAATTCCGTTTCGCCAGTTATTATGGAGCTACCGTTGTGTATGCTTACTTTGTTATTTTAACAAATTGTCACTTCAAAAGATTTACTAATTTTGATTAGACTCATTTTTCCAAAACTCTTCATTTTATATGGAATGTATTACCATAATATTCATAAATTGTATGAAATAAATGATATTACAAAATTACTTTTAAATATTTACGAATCAAATCTACGACACTTTCATATTAACATTTGTATTTTTATGAGTTTTCAATAGAATAAAAAAACTTTTTTTTACGAAAATTGCCAAGCAGTGTCTCTCTACTTGTCACTTATTCTTATGTACACACTGTGTTGCAACTTACTTCTCATCATTTTCTACAGAACATCAGTCAATATTTTTCATATTAACAATGATTGGATTGTCACACATCGCAACATAGCAGAATCGATGCATCACTACCAGATTTACACAACTGGTCATATATTTTGACAATATTACTAGTCACTAGATCGACTTTACGCATCTGATCCATCGTCGATGATTGGCGAGAGCTTTTTATAACTAAAAACGGCCAAGGAACAATCATTAGTTGGACATTTGCTACAGACAGACCTTTACGGAAATATTCAATTTCATTTTTTCTGTATCACTCGCACTAAATTTCCATCTATTGTAGGTACGATTACCAACATATTATTAAGTAACCACAAATCGAAGAAAAACTTCGGTATTCGATAGTAAACCTTATGCCAAGCAAGATATAGCTCAAAGCAAATTTGGCAATTGTAGAATATATATATATATACGGGCTAACGACCAAATTTAATTGAGTCATTATACAGATAGTCATTGGTCAGGTATATATATATATCAGATAAGCTGACCAATTCAAGTATTCGGGTACACGAAAGACATTCTCGAATTCGGGCATCCGAAGCAATATTTACACTGGAATACGGGCTGGAAGACGGGTGTCAGGTAACCAAAGCCGAAATCTACCCGAATTCGGGCGTACTCGACTCCATTCATTTACACTTAGTCGTTTACCCGAATTCCATTCCCGAATACAACCTAGTGTAATCGCGCCATAATTCTAGTCACCAGTTCCACTTTCTCATCGACGATAGGACAGTTGCCTTTTTTTAAATATCTGCAGTTGCAATTTGGTTGGCCCAACATTGGGCTTAAAACAAGGAGGCACAATAGATAAAGGAATCGCTACTCGGGGTAGTGGGCAATATTTTGTAAATTGGAACACATGACTCAACAGCTCCTTAATCTAAAGTTATGGGGTAAAAATGTAAAATATATTAATTATGTACACTTTCAAGCACCGTATTTGACACAGGCTAATTAATATACGTCTAATATCAATATTTTTTTTTCATTGTTCCGGGCACACACATTATTCATCACTTTAAAAAATTCCTTCAATATAGCCAAATAAAATAAAATGCGTAGAAAAAAACCAAGAAGCAGAACGATTTTTTTTGTTGACGTTATTCCATGAATAGTCAATGGAATAACGTCAGCAAAAAAATCGTTCTTTCATAGAAAAGAAGTTCTATTGTACTTTTGGTTCTGTTTATTTCAAAAACTGTAATGAACTTGGAAGTTAATCAAAAAGCATACTTAGAGTACGAAGTTAGTACATATCCTCCACTAATACAGTTACAGATACAAAATGAAAACTTTAATGCCTACGTGTAAACAGAACTTGTTCTATGGAGTATATTAATAATAATAATCATACAATAATAATTTTAATATTCCAAGTGTTTTACTGACTACGATAAAGTGTTCTAACAGTAAGATAATAAGGGTCAACAAAGTGTCTAAAATCAAATGTATATACATTATAACTTACCTAAGAAATAGGATTACGAATGACGGACATTTCAAAATAAATTATATAATGAGTTTTGAATAATATCGTGTATCTACAGCTATGTTATGTGCTCGTAAAAGATATTTTCGAAATGCAACCAGACACTAGATTATATGAAATGCAATGTGTTGATGGAATTGTTATATACGAGTAGATATCAGGATCTGAAAAATTTTGTGTTTTTTTTCAATTCATCCTGAAATTATGGGATGATAATATCCGTTTGTCCATATGATAAATTTTAATACTGTTAAATTATATTTTATTAGTCGAACAAATGAATTAAGTAGGTATTTTGATAATTAATTAATATTTTTTAAGGTCACTTCTGACTTGCTTCATTATGCTCTGAGCAATTTTTTTTTTACAATTCTTTTAATGAAACATTTTTATTGTCTCTTTATATTGATAAATTTTCGAATCAAAATTTATTAAAACACAATATTTACTTGAACAGAAGCCTCCACCAAAGCTGACAGTGACTAATTTGGTGATTTTAAAATACACTGTATATACAAAATCCATAAAGTCTCAAATATTATTTTAATAATAGGGTTAAAGACATTATCCATAATTCGTTGTAATTACAACACAAAACAATAATAATAATAAATAATAGATTTCTATTAACATTCAACAACTAAATAATAAATAATAGCGTGGTGAGCATTCATTATTTGCGTCAAATAATGATTTGTCATTGTTTGAGGGAAATAATGATGGGCGATTAGTTTTTCTAATCACTATCATTTTTGAATGCGCAGAACACTAGTGTGTAGGTTCATAGCTCAACCTCTCTGATCTTGAGTGGAGTGGAGTGGTGATATATTTCGAGTGGAGTGGCGATATCTCGAGTGGAGTGGCGATATCTCGAGTGGTGTGGCGATATTATCGTGTTATGTCGAGCTCATATCGGCCGCGTGAAATTGGCAGGGAACATTCCTTTCTCATTAGTTGTCTCTTTGATGCCCATCAGCCAGCCTTCCTCCTGTTGAAAACCATTGGGGTCAGATAAAAATAACAATACTAAATTAAATTCCTTATACGTTTACCAATGATTTGTTGTACCGACTTAAAGTTTATTGATTAAAGTATAAATAAAACTTTGTAGGCTGGCCAACTGCTACATTAATTCCCGGATGTTCTCGAAACACTCAGAAACATACATATAGAATTTAATTATAGCTTAGTAGAATCCACAACAAAATAATTAAATTTAGCCTGAATTAAGAAAATTGCGAGAAAAATTAAAATCAGTCAAATATTGAAATTATTGTTTTTTTATCCTCTTCAAGCCTCCTGCAATTCTATATTAATAATTATGAATATTGCTATTTTCAGTAAAAATTACACTTGTTTGTAATATTCGCTCTAAATATAATACATTAAGTGAATTAACGTGCCCTGTTCAAGTATTAATTAAAACAAAACAAAAAAGTGACAGGGACAAAACTGTTTTCTCTCTTTTTCTAGAGTTATCTATTTCATTCGAGAGTAGCAATACCACATATCAGGATTGCTTAGGCTATTGCTATATTATATGATTTAATTTTGTTATATCTGAGACTGCTATAGCTTGAAAACCTTCGGCAGTCAGAAATAACAAAATGAAATCGTAAGTGGTAGCGATAGCCATAGCAATCCCGTTAGGCGATTGGCCCCCTGACCGCCGAAGGTTTTTAAATGTCTCGCGCTCTTTTAGCATTGGTAATAACAATATCAAAGAAAATGAGCGTGAGGTATTTCAAAACCTTCGGCGATCAGAAATAACAAAATGAAATCATAAGCTACTGCTTTAGCAATCCCGATATACGGTAAGCCCCCAGCCCCCGTACTACAATTAACATTATATCACGTTTTTTACCGCGTCTAACTGTCAAACCCAATAGTAATTTGACAATTGAGCGTGATAAAAACGCGTTATATATCATAGCGCACTGCTCATGCTAGGGGAGCACGTCTATAAGTTTTCATATCAGCGCGCACTTTCTCATCTGTTCATCAAGGTCATAATAGTGGGCTTATGATGATGACGTCGTGAACTCTAATGGCCGATGATGATAAAGTTCTTATGATGTTAATGATGATTCCGTACGTATGATGTTAATGATGACGTACGTATGATGTTAATGATAACGTACGTATGATATTGATGATGACGACGTACGTATGATATTGATGATGACGACGTACTTATAATGTTAATGATGACGTACGTATGATATTGTTGATGACGACGTACGTATGATGTTAATGATGACGTACGTATATGTATTGTTAATGCGTGCGTAATGTTAATGACGTACCTGTTCATCAGGGTCGTCGTACTCCACGACGCGAATGACGTCACCCACGTCGAAGGACAACTCGTCGGAGTCCTCGCGCGTGTAGCGGTAGGTCGCGCGCACGCGGTACAGAGTGCCCGCCGGCAGACCGGCTAACGTCGCCCCTGTGTTCATACCAAAACTAATCAATAACTACCCTAAATTAAAAACATTATCAATTTTTTGATGTGTAACATCTTTCCTATCGCTTTAGTGCAATTCGTAGGAGTGATTACGTGAAGTGGGACGGAAGTCTGTAACAGGAAGCTTGGGAAGCGCGCGCTATTTGATTTGATTTTAGAACATAATGTTCAAATGGCTTATTCCTTTTGTTATATGTTTTATTTCTTTTTTGACTAATATTAAAATGAGGTTTCAAATGTTACACACCGTACGCGACTACTGTAAGGCTCGCTTGTTTTTATAAGAGACTTATATCTACTACTTTTATAAGATTACTCAACGATGGCAATAAAGATAAAAAGTGGATGGATTGTTTGATGATCGCTTGTTAGGGATAGAAGTACCAATAATAAGTTAACTATATTGTTAATTAAGTAGAGGAAAACCTATCATTGGCCATACTTTTAGAAATGTATCTGCTGTAAATTTTGTATCGGAAAAGCGCTATTGATTTTCTAAGAAAGTCATAACTGCCATAAATTAATAAAAGCCTTCTCTTTTATAGCGCACGCGATATAAATTGTCCACCGGCAGACCGGCTAACGTCGCCCCTATGTTCATACCAAAATTTTTTTATAGCGCACGCGATATAAATTGCCCGCCGGCGGCAGACCGGCTAATGTCGCCCCTGTGTTCATACCAAAAACTAATCATTATGTTTGTGGGTATGTTTTTTTTATGTTTAAAGAGTGGCAAATAAGCATATGGCCTTAGATTAAAACAAAAAGGGTAGATAGGACACTAGCCCCACAAAAGTGATCCGCATAAATTGTGGTCCATGACCCTAATCGCTTTAGCAGCGCTTTAGTCACAACTTGACATGCAAACGACTTACATGTGAACGCCAAAAACAAATATTGCTAATATTTTGTGTTTATATGATAAAACAATGCCTAAGTGTGTTTTTAAAAAGTGCTCAAATTGCTCAAGAACTAAAAATAAAAACCCCGGCATCACTTTTCCTTCGTAAGTACTATAAAATATATTTTTTCATAAAAAATGCTGTTTGTTTTGAACTTATTCGGTAGTGACGTTGAGTACTGGTCGCGTGATTGGTCGGTAGTGCAATGACGCGGATCTCGCCGTCTCGTTCGCGCTGCCGTTGAAACTTAACGTGATGTTTCGTTCGGGTCGGTAATGCAGTGACGCGGATCTCGCCGTCCCGTTCGCGCTGCCGTGGGATCAGTTTTTGTTTGATGCAAGTATGAGCGTACCGTATCTACCCTTTTTGTTTTAATCTAATCATATGGCCCGCTTAATGGTAAGCGGCACTATAGCATATAAACGCTTGCGATACCAAAACTATCACTCGCGCCGTTGCCATTCCCTGACCCAGTCCCCTACCCCGTGGAGCCCTAGAACTTTACTGACCAACAGAAACACAACACCACCAAAAGGTATTGTTATTTTACTGTGTACTTCTGTAAGGTGGAAGTGACTTCCCTAGGCGGGCTCTCCTATTCGAGCGGGAAATCAGCTATGCCCTACCTGGCTTTATTTAGTTTGTAAAAATCATTTAGCACGTACGATAAAACTGTGGAAAATATTGTCGCCAGCAGTGTAACCGGATGAATACAAGCAGAAAACTCAAAAAAGTACGCTGGCCGCTTCATCCAAACACAGTAATTTATTACTGTGGACATGATTTCTTCTCTTCGCAAATTTAACCATATTATTGTTTAGCTTACCACCACAACGGTGTCGATTCTGGCAGGTTTCTCTAGGCCTAGACTTTGATGCCATCAAGGCAGTGTATCCTTGTCATTCTCTATACAGAGTGAAAGGGAGGGACTGGTGTTGAAACTGTTTTTGGGTCTGGAGAATCATGCCCAAATAGATATGAAAAAAAAAAAGATACCAATATGTACCTTATATTAAATTTTGTGATATGAAAGTGGTTGTACTAGGTTCCCTTACTTTAAGTTATCGTAAGTCTACTTCCTGACTCTTAATAGACAAATTAATTTCTTTTAAAACTATTTTAAATATTTATTATAACAGCACAATTCCTTTAATTATCATATAGAAAAAATAATAATTACATAGTTATTATAAAGCAAGGTTAATAATAAAAAAACACCTGCAAAGCTCATACAAATTAGTAGGCTAAAAAACCAAGATAAACTAAATAACAACACAAATATGTACATACGAATAGCGTAAAATTCTATATAAACAGGATATTTACAATAGAATAAATAAAAATGTATACATATAATACATAATACTACTTACTTTTTGAACCAACGGAAAAATGCCTTCACCAGTATCATTAATGCATTTATGTTCTGTATTAATAATGTTTTTAAAGCCTTTTCAAATCTTAAATTTATATAAAACAGTTGTACTTTTTCTTAAATGTATAAACAAAAAGCCATCTTGCTAGTTATTTTAAATTCTTATATCTTCTTAAAATCGAAAAATCTTAAGATCGAATAGGAATCAATAGACATGTGAACTACGCAGTGAAAATTCCATCTTATAGGGTACTATTTAAAGATCACATTACAGTGCTATACGGAGTCTCATTGCATTGGAGTGAAGTTAACGTCGAGTTGCTATGAATTTGAGCAAACTGAAGTCGACTTAAAAAATAAAATGGATTTTAATATAACTTATATGCAAATGAGATAATAAATAGTGATAATTTTTATTTTTTGAGCATGTAACTGCTCTATGTTTAAATCTAAAGAAAATATTACTAGAAAATATTCCACGCGAACCAGGCAGCAGACGGGACTCGAACCCGCACCCTTCGCTATCCGGACGAATGCACTGACCATTATGCTACCGCGGCCCTGATGGCCGTGTCGAATTCTTTCTAGTCTTCTAACCTAACCCACAATGAAGACAATAATTTGAATAGGCTCTAAAACTTCGATCGTCCTACACTTACCGACTGGAATGTCGTAAACTTCGTCTGTCTTGCTCTGATTGTCGTTAGGTTTGTGCTCTGTCTCATTCTGTTTCTTTTCAACGTCTAGTTGCTTGTCTTCGCCGTTATTATTCAATTTCTCCGCAGGTACTGGGGACCCTGAGAGAATGTGCGTATTGTCTGATATAACCTGACCTGTGTATCTATATGGAGATTGGAGGGTGGTATTGGAATCCATTGGTGTTTATTTCATGTAATTTCTCATGAATATGAAAATATGGTTCGCCTGATATTTAGCAGCCATTGTAGGCTATAAACGCTAACGATATGATGTATCGCGCTTCTATACTTTCGATTGTTAAAGTATAACTCGTGTCATTAAAGAAAGGAATCGCAAATAACAACGTAAGATTAATTATTGTCTCTCTCGCACATGCTATCCTAAGTGACGTGCGAGAGAAACACAGTGTGCTGCGTCGGCATTTTAGATTCACAATTTTTATAACACGAGCTACTCATAGAGGTATAAGAATAGAGTAGGGGAGATATAGACTCTACTACAAGTGGAAGTGTCCCTCTAATAGAAAGAGAAAGAAGATGTGAGACCGCTAGCTTTCTCACTCTAATCGCGCATGCGCATTGGCAACCGTAAGCATCTTACTATTTCGATGTGATGTCAGTGGAAGCCATTCGTCACAAGAGAGAGAGATAGCTAAAGGTCTCTCATCTTCTTTCTCTTTCTACTTGACGGACACTTTTAGGGCCGCCTTTCCCTCTCTATTCTTGGTTGGGATGGTTCCACTTTGGTGTTTGACGGTTAGACGTGCTAACAAGTGATGCGATCATAACGGGATACTCATAATGAGGGACAAGAGTATCGTCAAATCGATCGATTAAATGAGCAAATCGCTACATAATATTGTTAAATCGGTTAGCTTTCCTCAGGCAGTCGATAATCCGAGCTACAACTATACTGTTATTCTCAATAGTATATATCAAAGTGAATATAATATTGATCGTGAAGTTAACAGTGTATAAAAATAATTGTTTATAAAGTTCAGGGTAATGTCAAGCTACATGCTTCTAACTACTAACAATAACTATTTAGCATTACTGACTAGTACGTCTACTTACAATATAGGCAACATTTAGAAATACCTTTTTCACTATCCACTACTTTTTATAACTTTGATAATTATAATATAAGATTCTCATGATAACGTTTTCTTGTTCGTCTAATTAAATTCAACTTTTCTTCCGTACTCTCTATAAACATGCTTATTTGTTAGGTAATTAATAAACTTAGTAGAAACGACGATAATGTCGTAAGCAACAAAATGCAAAATAAATAGTGTCCATCGATATGCAGCAAATATTCTATGTATTTCTTGGGAAGGGCAAATATACGCAATCTACAAACGTAAAAAAATATCTATGACTAGTTGACACCGCGTACTTCGTACGGTTTAAAATAATTTGGAAGAAATACCCGAGTCTACCGTACCAAAAGGGACGAACGTTAAATGTTTGACAGGAAAGAAGATAGAATAGTTTATATGGGAAAATTAAATTGACGTTTTTACTACCTTCCTCGCAATTCTGTCATATTTTCTCACCTTAAAATCCTTCCCTAGACCACCACGAACATTTCAAGACCAAGATAAGATAAATCCGTTCAGCCGTTCTCGAGTTTTAGCGAGACTAACGAACAGCAATTGTTTTTTATATAAATATATAGATTAGGATTGAAAACGTAAATAATGAAAAGAGTTAACAAATCGCGCTTGTACCCGTTCAAAAAGTGTTCAATTTCAAGATAAGTGTGCGTGAAAACAGAGAAATAACTTATATTATATCTATCAGCCGGGGAACACCCCTTTCTCTACTATTCTCCCGTACCGCGTTCTCGTTAAAACTACCAGGAGAGCATACTCACCGACTGGCACGTCGTACAGGTCTCCGTCCTTGTTGTTGTCTAGCGGCTTTTCTTGTTCACGACGGGCAGGGGGTGGGGGGGCGGCGCCATTTTGCACTGGAGAGGGGGGTGATTGGGTCAACTGGCCCGGTGGAGGGGTCTTATGTCCCGGGGTAGGGGTAGAATGGTCCGGTGGAGGGGTTGTATCGCCCGGTGGAGGGGGCGACAGTCCCGGTGGAGGTGGCGACTGGCCCGGTGATGGGGGCGTCTGGCCTGGCGAAGGCGGCACCCAGCCGGGGGAAGGTGGTGCCGCTCGTTCGGATTTCGGGGCTGATATCACACACGTACGCGCGCATTACAATTACAAACAATTCATGCTTGCTAGCTGATCGCTGGCGTAAACTTCTCTTGTTGTCTACTTATAAGCTCGTAATTTGTTTTCTGTTACTCTAAACCCGTACCGACGTAGCCTACTTATATGTATTATTGTTTAGTTTGTAATAAATCAACATTATTTAAGACTGATTTTTCAAGATTTTGGTGTTGAGTTTAATACAGTTAAGTTCAATCATATTTTGAAATAGACAACCTTTGCCATTGCACTCTGTGTTTTATTTACTTCAATAATTCACTGTCATTATGGGCTTTTTTAGTTATACTTATTATTTTTTAAGCATAGAACTGCTAGATGTTAAAATCTAAATATTTTTTTACTAGAAAAATATCCACGCGGACCAGGCAGGAAACGGGACTCGAACCCGCTCCCTTCGTTATCCGGGCGAATGAACTGACCATTATGCTACCGCGGCCCCGACGGCCGTGTCGAATTTTCTCTAGCCTTTCTTACGCTGCAAGACAGCGCCATCTTTTCGCAACCACGATATTTTGTCACTCAAATGTATCGAAATTCGATAGATAAGTAAATTAATTCTTGATTAGGAACGATTATATCCCGAACAAAGGCTGTAACAATAACAATAGGTGTTGGCGTTATGAACGGTAAACGTATGCGGGCTAAACACCTACACTAAGAAGTTAATACGGTGATCATTCTAAACAATTAACTTTAAATTATTATGAAATCACTTACATTTTTGTAGCATTGAGAATTATAACATTGTTATCAAATTAAAAAATATCGATAATTAAAACCAATTATTATGAAATTAAATGAAAAATTGCATTGAATAAATAATAAATAGTAACCAAGTCGAACAGTTTAACCCAGCGATCAGTAGCATAACACACGCACACATAGTTAAAGACACAACAGGAATGCATGTTCAGCAAAATCCACACACAACTCACTTACAAAACAATAATTCAAGGGATTTATCATACAGTGCACAGGATTTCGGAGGATCGATTGAGGTCTTCGCACATTATATCTATTCGATAATAACTAAAACTGGGCAAAACTTGCACGAATCGATCCTAATAGGGTATTTGACAAGTTTAAGAAAACGATCTCACGTTATTGACTATGTTTATGGAGTCAGTAAAAAGTGGATATTCATCATTCTGTTGTGTATTTCAGTAAAAATAACCAAATAAAAATCTCAAGTTGCCGCGAATACGTTTTTCTGGACAATATGGCATCTTACTAGCGTGTGACGTCACAAGACTGTTATTAAAACGTCAAATGATACAATGTAATGTCACTTTAACCGGAAGTTTACTTGCGTGTGACGTCATTTTAGGCTCCGCCAATCCCAAGCGTTTTGGGTCACGTGACAATAGATAAGAAAACTATTATCTTTTTCGTGGGTTTTTAGTAAAATTATGATTTTTTTTTGTAAAAATAGTAAAAACCCCTGCCAATATTCATTCTAAATACAGATGCTAACAACTGGCACTTTATTTTTAATACTGCCAAATACCCTATTATGACCGTTTGCACCTTTCGCTCATTAGTCCCTGTCCATGAGCACTACAATTTACAGTATATCACGTTTTTTATCGCGTCTAACTCGCTCAATTGTCAAATTACTATGGAGGTTGACAACCCCATAGTAATTTGACAATTGAGCTTGATAAAAACGCGTTATATATCGCGGTGCTCATACTAGGGGGCGCTGACATGATATGCAAGAAGGACTGACTGTCTCGCATCGTCTTTCGTTTTAACTTTACGATTTTATTATTGAGCTGTATTACATTTTACGATCTGGAGGTTAGGCATTAAGTTCAAAACACAAGTCATTAACTGAACATGTGTTTGAAAACGGGCGATCTTGATACTTGGACAAATCAAAGTTTCGATAAGGATTTTGCCACTAGTTGGGCATGACTTTGGGGCGCAAATTTACTGAGTGAATATTTCGGAAATAAAGCTGTTTTTCAAATTCATAATTCATTTATTCAGTTTAGGCTTTTACAAGCACACGTGAAAGTTAAAAGCTACGCCATCGGTTCGCAAACATACGGCGGTTTCTTGTAATAAGAAGAACCGGCAAGAAACCCAGCAAGGGCTGCTATTCCGCCCTGTTTTATTTCAAACGGTATCGTCTAATTGAAAGCTGACATCGAATTTACAAACATGTAATGAGGTCAAATTCCATCGAATAAACAATAATAAATTATAAGCGATTTGACGGATGTCTGAACCTATCGCTGGCAGCACTGCTGCTACATAGCATACTTCATTTGAGAAGATTTTATGATTCTTCGGAATGTTTTACTTAATTGTATGTAGATTTAATGAGAATTTTGCACTAAATATTTCGTTAGGAGCAATTGGACGTCATGTGCGAAGGTTTTAGCTAAAAAAGTGAAATCTTGTGCACAATGTGGAATGCCTAAAGTTACTGATGTAAAAGGAAAAATAAATGACAATCGATTGTAACTTAATTTCATTGACTTTGATTTTGTGTACATTTTCCTCCCGTTTTTAAGTAATACTATAAATATGATGCTTATTTTGTCGCAAGGAATTGACATTTGGAGTTACGTTTTATAGTCAGAACGAGTTTTGATAGTTTCCATTTAAGTTAATCAAAGTCGACGATTAATAAACGTTTTTCCTTTTACTTTAGTTAGAGAATTAATAATTATGATGTTCAACACAGTCTTACTAAATTTAAAAAAATCACTCCACACTTTTTTTCGCATTTAGCTATGAAAGCGCAGCAATACTAAAACACACCAATTTCTCGGTTAGTTCCCTAATATATTACAATTAAGTAACAGTTTTTGTTTCAAGTTTGAACAATATTTTTTTCTATAAGTGTAGTGTAGAAATTTCAGTTGTGTAGAGTAGAATAGAAAGTAAAAGTGTCATGATACTTTTTGTCTTTACGAAAATGTATATACTTTAACATAAAATCTCTTCTTCCTGTCCTGTTTTAAAAGTGTAGTGTCTTTGAAATTTGTAACTTGATTCGGATCCGGATCCGAGTGTGAAAAATGTGTTTATAAATATTATGAGCGTAAGCCAATGAATGGCTTCGCTAAAAAGTGCTCCCACGCAAACTGCAATCAAGTGGGCGGGGCAAAAAAAAAATGCGCTCAACACGCCGATCAAGGGTTTGGTTGGAAATTCCGTTTAACATTATCAAAGCCAATGAATGGATAGCCGAATTTATTTCGAGATACATATTTGATTTGTCAAATTATTTTGTTTCGTCTGTGTGTGTGTCGCGTTAGTATTGAAGTTTAGTTTGAGTTTGGAACAATGTTTTAGCCTGCCCTGCGTTAGAGAGTATCGCTTTCATATAATTTCTAATGCATTGGCATAATTACAGGTATAATAGTTTGTGATCTATCGTGATTGTAGCGGTGTGTCGTGTACTCTAGCGTATCGTGTATTGTTCTACTGAACAATAATAACCCTTAGCACGAACCAATATCGAATTCATCTCCACTCGCGTCGAACGTCAAGAGGTTTTGTATGGAAATTTGAACAGCGCCACAACGGACGTAACGAGAATTAAAAATGTTCCATACAAAATTTCTTGGCATGTGACACATATCGATGCAGTATGCAGTTACCAGCCACTCTGACTCTGCTAGTGTGTCGTGTATTTTCAATATATGGGCGATAAAGTATTCACTTCGTTAGTTCATCGTGTATAGTACAATAGTATGTTGGTGCTAGTTTTCTCACTTGTCTTTTCTCACTCCACTCGCCAGTGTTTAGTGTGTGTAACAATGTACATATATGGTGTGTGTGTGTATGTGTGTTGTGTGTGTGTGTGTGTGTATGTGTGTGATATACTCACTTTGCACGGTGTCGTTGGGCGAGGCAGAGTTGCCGTTGTGTTGTATCGGCTGAGGCGCGACGTGATTGTTAACGCGTTTGGTGTAGGAGCCGCGTTGGCATTCCGTTGCTAGCTTGTCGGTTATGGCCTCTAGCTCAGCGAATACCTTAGTGGAGAAAAAATGAATATTATTGTGGGTTATATACAATGTGAAGAGATAGCGCTACCTTGCAGCTTAAAAATGGCTAGAAGGAATTCGACACGGCCATCAGGGCCGTGGTAGCATAATGAGCAGTGCGTTCGCCCGGATAGCGAATGTGCGGGTTCGAGTCCCATCTGAATATTTTCTTTAGATTTAAACATAGAGCAGTTTCATGCTCAAAAAATAATAAAAATTGTTTCTAGTATTTCTTAGGCTGCAAGGCAGCGCCATCTCTTCGCATTGTAGATAACCCACAATGTCAAACGAATACCTTAACAAATATTAAACATTTGAAAGAAGAAATAGCAATTTATGTTTATTATATTTTTATTTTAAGCATTACACTACTACTACTAATGCGTAAATAAAATATAATAAAAAAAGATTTCTTAAATTTGTAATTTTTAAGTATGTAACTGAAAAAAAGGTGCACGTGGGTCAGGCAGCAGACGGGACTCGAACCCACACCCTTCGCTATCTTCACGTTATTTAAAAATAATTCAATTTTTAAACACGATTTAAAATCAATCCGAGATAAATAGAAAATTATGTTAAACATAAAAGTTCATGTTATAATATAAAACAAGCTTTCAAAAGATATGTTTCATCGCTGCCGGAAACCGACTACCATTTTTGTACCACCTCCTTTATGTCATAAACTCAAGTCTACGGTCCCTTATAGCTGTAAAAAAAATTAACTTCTAAGTTAACGTGAAAAAAGATACGGCTCTTTATGTTGCGTAGATTAAAACACAAAGGGAAGATACGGTACGCTCATACTAGCATCAAATAAAATATGCTCCGTCTCAACTACATAAGCAACTCTCACACACGTCTCCACGTCTGTAAATAAACATTCAATTGAGCGAGCGAGACAGAAATGTACGCTTCAACGCAGCGCGAATGAAACGGCGAGTCTGTGTCTGGTTCAGCTCAGCTGAGCTGTATTGTTGTCCTTTTCTTGATAAGAAAATGGCGATTACGTAAATAACATTCAAGACAAACCGTGATTTTTGTAAAAAAAAAAATGTTTTTACAGTTCTACGAATGAAAAGTATTGCCGAGGCATTTGACTTTGAACTATATGTGTTGTTTATAAAAGGCATTATTTTATCTTTATAACACAGAATATCTGCAATTTTGTTGTATTAAGTGTACATGCAACGCATTTGAATGTCCAGTTGTGACTAAAGCGAATTGTGGTCATGCACCACAATTTAAGCACCACTTTTGAGCCGCGAGTGTCGTATCTTCCCTTTTTGTTTTAATCTAAGGTTGCATACCTACAAATTTGTACGGAACAATAAGCGGGCTAGGCCGACTCGCACTTGTCCCGTCTTTTGTACTAAATAACTAAAAAAATCTCTCACCTTAGTGGTCTCAGAGTGGAAAAGTTGTTCAGCCGAGAATAAAGTTTGTAGATTGTGTACGTAGAACAATACGCGCGAGTCGTAGAGCGCGGGCAATTCGTCGTGAAGTTCCGAGTTCAATACTTCGTACGTGCGTTTAGCTTCTTCCAATTGTTCGCGGCCTTTGGTTATCTGGGGAAAGGAAACAGACATCATGATTCATAATGATTTCTAGACTGTCAATATCCCACCATTAATGGGGCACTGGCCTTCCTTATGGTTAGGTATGGTAGACGTAGTCGGATGCATAACCCACCACGCGGGCATTGTGCGTGTGGATTATTGAGTGATAATGACAATGCGTCAGTACCCTAAGCACAAACCAATATCGAAGTCGAATAGTTTGCGAGTGAGAAATGTCATTGTCAAAATTGTCAATGGAAACTTGAACAGCAGCGCCACAACGGACGTAATGAGAACTAAAAATCAGTACCTACACATTCGACGTATAAAATAGATCAAATTCCCACTATTCGAATTACATAATGCTTCGTGCTCACCCATTCTGTGAGCGAAATTTGTGAGAGTTGTACAACCTAAACTTCTTTAACGTCATCGACAGAGAGCAACACAGCTGACGCGGCTAGGAGGGAAGTAGCCATAATGAAATAATACTACTGATATCATTATGCCCCTTTTTGCGGGGGGGAAGAATATGCACACAAATGCAGCCCAACATAGTTTCGCAAAACCGAGATTGTAATTACGATACTCACATATTAAAACTGACAGCGCTAAATCGGGCATAGATGAAACTTAAGATTTTTATTGACAGATCTGAAATTTGTACTGACGAGTTGATTGCTTTGTCAAACAAGTCCGACGATTGCATTCTAACAAAATATTATGAAAAGTGGTTAAATAGAAATAATATCTTAATAATTCTACTTTTAAATGAAATTTAACACCATCCTTTTGTAATTTTTAATATATATATAATTTACTGTATATGTTTTACAGCAAATTACATAACATTTTGGCATATTTGATCTCTAACAATTAACACTTCGCTCATTGAAGTGAGCAGTCTTCTTATTAAATTCACAAGTAACTAACACATAATATATGTATCTAATTAATTGTATTAGTAGAGACATGATTTTATGTATTGTTGCTACTTCTGTTAATGCTAATGAATGGTTGGTAGGGAAAACTTTTGAATAATGTATCGTTTCGTTTCATTGCAGGGTACTATACACTGCTGATGCAGCCAGGGACCAACGGTTTAACGTGCCTTGTGAAACACTGAGAAACTCGAGATGATAAATATTTGATCACCCATATGATGACCGGTAATTCGCTACCTCGCGTCATCGAGCAAAGATAGGAATCTTAATGATCATCATCATCATCAGCTTATTAATGTCCCCACTGCTGGGGCACAGACCTTTCCTACGGATAGAATAGGGATACAGGGCCATGACCCACCACGCCGGCCCGTGCCCAGTGCGGATTGGTGGGTGCTAACGACTGCAGATGCAGTCGGGACCAACGGCTTTTGTGAAACAGTGTGGTCATTACCGACCATTGCGAAAGTTGCTTAACGTCAACGCACTAACCACCTGCGCCATCGAAATTTCGTTTCATTTCATTGGAGGGTGCTGAAGACTGCCGATGCAGCCAGGGACCAACGGCTCAACGTGCCTTCTGAAACATGGATGAACTCGAGATGATAAATCTTTGATCACTTATATGATGACCGGTAATTCGCTACCTCGCGTCATCGAGCTCCTATCTTAATGATCATCATCAGCTTATTAATGTCCCCACTGCTGGGGCACAAACCTTTCCTACGGATGGAATAGGGATATAGGGTCATGACCCACCACGCCGGCCTAGTGCGGATTGGTGGGTGCTAAAGACTGCAGATGCAGCCGGGATCAACGGCTTTTGTGAAACAGTGTGGTCAATACCGACCATTGCGAAAGTTGCTTAACTTCAACGCGCTAACCACCTGCGCCATCGAACTCCTCTTAATCTTAATGATAATTGAACATAATTATCTTAATGATAGTAATACCTTGACATCGTCCCTTCTCTTGGCGGCGTTCGCCTGTAAGTTTTGAAAGCTATGCCTTTGGCTGTCGTAGTCCACTAGTTTACGCCCTCGTTTCTCCACTTTTTTCTGAAACACAAAACAAAAAATTAATGGCGCAATTACATTTGGTCGATAGCCCGTATTCTGGTGCATGAATGACGTTACTCGAATTTGGGCACCCGAAGCAATATTTATACTGGTATATGGGCTGGAAGACGGTGTCGTGTAAACAATGTGGTAATTTGAATTCTGTGTATATATATATAATATTAATATAATTATAATTTATGAAATAATTTGTAAATAGGGATGATGACAATTTTTTTTAGTTTCGTTTATCAGGTAGATTATCAAAAAGTATTGGACACATATTTTTTCTTTTTTCACATAATATAAACATTGCAGAGATATATTGATTTGAAAAGACGCATGACGTCACGTTTGAGTACACTTTTAAGTGAAAATTCGCTCAAAAGTGACGTCACGAGCCCCTACTCCCAAACTTTGACGCGCTATAACTTTGTGATTTTTTGGTTGATTGCCCAAAGAAAAATACGTGTCCATTATTTTTTGATCATCTAACTGACGGACTTAATAGAATTTCGTTTACTGTACTCAGTCATCACTCCTATTGTAGGAATGGATCTTGTGTCTGAAATAAAAGTATATTATTATTATTAAACAAAAAAAAAATACCCGAATAGGGGCGTACTCGACTCCGTTCGTTTACACTAGTCGTTTACCCGAACTCCATTGGCTCTCGTATTCGGGCTAACGACCAAGTGTAAAATCGAGCCATTACTATGATTTCAAGTGTTTATTTATATTAGGTACCTATAAACACAAAATGGCAATACCATAGAGGTTAGCTGCATCAGAAAATACTACTGCGTTAGAGTGATTGCAAAGGCTTCATCGCCCTGCTCCATGGAAATCAGACAATCTTAAAACAGATACTAGCTACAGAGGAAATTCTTCATATCTGCAGCTTTTTTAAGACACTTGCATAGCCCCTACTCTTAAGTCTTTCTACCGTTTCTACGGACCATTTTCGAGTTAGTTATCTAACTTTTATTCATTCCACGACCCCTTTCATTCAATTGATGTTATGGAAACACATTGACTTTTGGCAAAACCCCTAGGATAAAATTTATAAGTGACTTTAGAAAGAAAAAAACAATTTTTTTATATAATAACCTATCATCATCATCATCAGCCTATTAATGTCCCCACTGCTGAGGCACAGGCCTTCCCTATGGATGGAATAGGGAGATTGGGCCATGACCCACCACGCGGGCCCAGTGCGGATTGGTGGGTGCTAACGACTGCAAATGCAGCCGAGGAGCTCGAGATAGTAAATTTTTGGTCACCCATCCAATGACCGACCACTGCGAAAGTTGCTTAACTTCAACGATCGCAGCCATAATAACCTATGTTTTTATTTATTTTTAAGCATTTAACTGTTAGATGTTTAAATCTAAAGAAAAGTTTTGCTAGAAAAAAAATACGCGGACCAGGCAGCGGACGGGACTACTTTACTTTTTTTCTAGAAAACTTTTCTTTAGATATAATAACCTAGTTTATGAGAGAGAATCCTGCCACAAGATCTCTATGTTCTGAGCCTACAGTACAAGATGTCGAGGAAACAAACAGATAATGCAATAAACGAGAATATTACTCACCCTGACTTCTGGAAACTGGTTGGTGTAAGTGTTGAGCGGTATGAGCACCTGGTCACCCAGTTTGTGAGAGAAGTCCTGCCACAACATCTCCATGTTCTGAGCTTGAACGTAAAGCAGGTCGTGGCCGGACCAACCGCTTTCGTACACCTCCGTTATCGCTTCCATTAGCGATTTGGACGCTGTTTGCACCGCTGTTGTAGGGCAAAATGATTTTTGTTCAACTGACAATCATACTAATTTCCTATGCAAGAGTATGTCAGTTACCTCTTCGCGCACGCTTATACATATATGAAAATTGGTAATAATACTTTGAATTCTGGCAAAGGATATTCTCGAAGAAATCTAGCCAAAATAATAATTTATAATTTTATACTGCCGACTACGTTAAACTACTATATTATTATAAGTAACAAATAATGTATTCCTTCACAGGTTTTTGGTATCAATTTAGTTATCAGCTTCCAAGACTGATAATTTCCATATTCTTCAAAAGACTTTTACGGCAAAGAGGATCAGCTGGATATTTTTTTCAGGCAGAACAAACATTATACTGTGATGGAAGAGTACTTCCGAAAATTTGCATAAGATTTCAGACCTTCGCTACTTGTCATAATTATATATTGATTTGCAAAAATAAAATAGGCTGTGCGTGAGAAAAAAAATCAAATTTGAAATATCATAATAATCAATCTAATAATTTCTGGAATTGCTATTCCTTTCCGCTGTAATATTAGTTGATCTTTAGCTACCAACTAACGACAATATCCACCCTTATATGTGTTTATTACCCAATGCACTAACCTCGTATGCATCTTATGTAGTTGTTGAACTCTTTCTGTAACCGCGTGGCTTGCTGGTGCTGTCTGTTGAAGTTCTGCAAGTGTTCCTCGAATATGTCATCCAACGTCCGATCCACTTTGCCAAGGTTTTGGAGTAACTGGAAATTAAAAGTAAAACGAATGTTAGATTACGTCGTCCCATTTTTGATCATACACAACATTATTAAGTGAAAGTCGCCAAAGGAGACAGTAAGTACATCGTGCGAGTGAGTACTGGTATTGCAAGAGTCTATGTGGGTCTATGCAACAGACCTTGATTTAGAAGACGCCTCATGTGCTTTAAATTGTATGGAAACCGGCCGTGTCAAATTTTGATTTATTCACGAGAAAATATTAGTTCTGAAAAATCATGGGTCGGACCATTTCAATTATATCGTTTTTACCAGTTTAATATGACATAGTTATTTTTTAAACATTACGATTGACATTCGGTAACGAGAATCGTGACACGAAGAAACGAATTAGAGTAAAAGGATGGCAGAGATGACCAATAGGCCATTGGTCATCTCTGTCTTTCGTTCATCTATTTCGTCTTCGGTCTATGCGTCTCGTATCGTGCGTCATGCTCGTGAACTCGGTGCTGCCAGCGGAGATGAGTCTGCCCTAACTTCCTTGATATCGAAGATGTTAATGTTTAGTTACACTTAATATAAATAACACTATTTGTATATACTGTATGACACAGCAATCAAAACGCAGGTAAACAATAAATGTATATTCAATAATTATGTAATGAAAGGTGACTTCATGAATCATCTCTGATGTCATTTTTCAACTTGACGACTCTGTAAATAATAAAACGGGGAAAAAACAGCCAGTGCTGAGTTTCTTGCCGGTTCTTCTCAGAACAAGGTCTCCCGCCATATATTTACGAACTGATGGCGTAGCTTCTAAACATTCACGAGTTCTTGTAGCAGCCTAAACTGAATAAATGATTTTGATTGATTGATTCATATGCATTATGGTGACCGCTTACCATTCAGACGGGTCAAATGCTTGTTTACCGCATTATGCGTTAAAACAAACTCGGTGATTAGAAATTAGTAGGTATGGAATTAGAACGAATAGCAGATGCCTCGAGTTTCCAAACAAACTGTGCGTAACACCAGCCTTGCAGTTTATACCGTTATTGCTGTTATCCGGAAACTTGATATCTCCATAACGTAACTATAGGTGTATTTAGTTAATATTCATATCCATACTCTTCAGATCATTGAGATAAAATCACTTTGCCGTAGCGAAATAGTGATAGTGAAAGAACGTTCAATTAAGGCTATCATCACATAAAAAAATCTTAGTGATCGCAGCGCCTAAAGTATGAAAAATGTTTGTACTGTAAAAGCACTTTTTTGACGAAATTTGCATATTATAGTAGGTAAATAGAGAAACATGTAGTACGTAACAAAAAATATCATTTCCATCAAACTTTAACAAAAGTTTTTTCTTTCCAAATAACTGTAGCAATTAAAAAGTTCAACTGAAAACACAAAGAAATTTCTCATTCGCAGAAACTTTATAATACTTTGCTGCAAATCAGATAGAGATTGCTTAATAAGCTTTATGTTACATTACAGTGAGGTGACACCAAGGCCGCAATCTCACTGTCATTTGATACGCTAATCAAGTAGCTCATTAATTACCGGTTGACGCCTCCGTAAACACTGAGTAGGTACAACAAGAGAATAGAAAAAAATAATTTAAAAAAATACTCGATTGCTTTATTAATTTGGATACCCGACAAGAGCCTAGAGTAGCCTAGGGGAGCCCAAGCGTGGATTTAGGTATTTACACGAACGCAACAGAAAGACGTTACAAGGACCTTGCGGGCGGGGCAGGCGCGTCACAGTTATGTGAGACCAAACGCTCACAACTTGAACAAAACTTGGTTTTGATTGCGTCGTTACTCTGTGCTGTGAGCACTGATTGGTTCGACTGTTTGATGTCGCGTCGTCTGATTGGCTAGTGAAAAGGAAAGACTCTTGTCAAGTTTACAAGTAGCAAATATAGCCATGTCAAGTGCCAGTATTCGTGCACACTCGATATATTTTGCGCCACAAAATCCGCATAACGACAATTTATAAATTCGAAAAAAGAATCTCCGAAAATTCAATCCATTCATAAATTCAATATCAATTAGAAATATACTATTACCATTTAACTAAATACAAAATTCATCATTACTAAAAAACAAATTAATGTTTCAGCAACATAAAATCGTGCAAATAAATTACTCAAATCATAAAAGATTACAGCTTCTCGGCTAAATTATTTTAATAACACCAACATAAAAGACACACTTATCTTAAATGATGTAAGAAGGTGGTTAAAAAAAGTTTTTACAGATATGACTCAAACGCAAAACTAGTGGTAATATTAAAAATAGCTCAGAAATAAAAACTGTGTTAAAACCTTAGGACTTATATTAAAAGTTTGCAGAACGTAATGACAGGAAAATAAAATGTCTCTATATTCTGCTCAAAAGTGCCAATATCTTTATTTACGATGTGGTGGTGTCACCAGTATTTTTGCTACGTTCGTGAATATTCCCCCTCTGTAGTAAAATTTATGAGTTGCGTGCGTCATTGCGACCCTCCACCAAGAGAGAACTTTGTCGGAAAAGTTACAAGGAGAAAATAAGGACAATTAATATTAAATGCTAAAGATACACGAGAAAAAACATTTTGACCATGCCAATTATTACGATTGCGATGCAATAAAGGTTTTTTTTGGTAAATTATATCCACCAACAGATCTTTCAACAGTATACAAAGAGTTAACAGGACTTACAAGATAAATAATATTAACTGAGTAAAAGTTAATGAAAAAATATTCAAAACGCCAGTTCGAATAGCCTGTCATTCAACGAATGATAAAGTTTAGAAACATTTCTATCTTATCAAACAAACATTGTTTAAAGCCGAAACCTCAGTTACGAATGTTTGTCAATGAATGTATATAGCGTGGAGACTGGAGAGCTGTCAACTTGGTGCATTAGCATTATAATGATTGATTAGGTAACATGTGGGAAGTAGCGAAAGTCAAACAGCATGCTGAAACGGTCTTACATACATGGTAACAAGAGGAACATAACATTATTACTATAGTATAAACGATATAAGTTACAAAAAAAGACTTTAAGTCTTTCATTCAGACGATGGCACGAGTCATATAGAACTTTATATAGCGAATATGAAAGAAAGCAGACTATCAGATGATTTTGCAATGTAGCTGTCATGCAGCAAGTAAATAAGGTCGTTTCCGATACCCGAGATTTACGAAATAGGGAATAAAATCAAAGAAGACAGAACATGCAGAAATTTAGCGCACGAATATAAAAATATAGTATAGTACAGACAGACCAATTTTTCGTGGAAACTGAAACTAAAACCTTAATCAAAAATCTTAGCCGATCAGGGTATCTTAACTAGGTCATCGTGATGCCATGTCATCGTTTATATCGTGGCATGTTTGTTTTACTTCTCCACATAGGTACTAGATGTATAAATCATAGTTGTATTTACGTGTTACAGTTTAACAGTTATATTTTCTTTTAATGCATCATTTCTACTACCATATTTTTAGCTTGTGACCATGGCATTTTATTTCGTCCCGTGTAAGATAAATATGAAGACAGTGTAATGTTGAATAGATATTATTTTATCTGTTCTTTCATATTAAGCTATATAATCTCATCTACTTCAATGGAATAGTACACCTTATTGTGTTTTTCCATGGCTCATAATAATTATTAATTGTCATGTACCTTTTCTTTTGAATATGAGTAGAATACTTAAGTATCGATAATTTGGATGCAATATAAATAAACACGAATAAACACATACAACTTTTATGAAAAACCCTAATGCAATACTGGTAGAAAAGCACAACGACTAAGAGGTATGATCCGACATATCAGTTATTATATATATTATTATTACTCGCAGGTGCATTATATTCATAACTAGTTTGCAAACAATAGGTAGATAAGTACGCTGTGAGCTGCGATTGTCTCTCACAAGGCCACCGATGACAGATGATCTGCATAATACCTTCACTGACTTCGAAACTCTTGATACGAGGAAAAATAAGTGAAATTAAATAAATAATATAACATTACAAACGCAGAATTATAAAAGCCCAAATTACTCCCAGACATTTATGAAAGTTTGAGATAGACTGAATTAAGATAGCCTAGGGAATATTACGAGGGAATCGGACAGCATCAGACTTCACACGGAAGACCTTAATGGCGAATAATGTGGAGGATTAAAGTTCAATCTGCGTCGTCGTGTAATGAAGAAAATGAAGTTGTGAAAGTGGAAGGAGTAGGAGTAGCTTTTATGTTATAAGGTAATATATAACTGTCTGTAATCAAAATATTAAACGCGCGATTGTTTGATTTCACTAGCGTTTACTCGCGTTTTAATGTTGAGAAAAATATTTCCAATGCAAGAAATGACATCAACATACCTCTCGTTTGTAGAAAGAGTTCTATCTTCTTGATCGATCGATCGTTCGAATATAGGTACTTTTTTAAATGTCATCTAAGAATGAAGCAATCAATATACATACAATAACTAAGCCATAAAATTAATTTGAAAAACTGAATCATTCTATAAGCTAGTAGGATCAAATGTGAACAATCAATTTGCTAATCCAACCGATGGGCTCAACTATAGGGTTACGCCTTTGTGTCATCGTCCGGCGGCCCATTGTTCGAAGCATACGCATACATGAATATTACAATAGATACCATGAAACGGAAGAACTGCCAGTACTTACTGAGAAACCAACTTTTACATAGTGATGAATGGATTACGTGCAGCAGGAATGTGACTAAGGTGAGGAGAGCAATGGTTTAATAAACAATAAAGTCACTTTCCATTGTAATAACTTCAGAATCACTCCTATAGATTCTTTCGCAGGTGTGAAATATTCATTTTCAAATATGAACCATTTTTGTATCTCACACAAGCTTCTAATTGCCAAGACATTCAATTAAATTGTTTTCGGAAGTAGTTATCAGGTGTACATTGTTCCTACCATTATGTCTAATGACGTCACATCCGCCGTTTCATCCTTTCGATTTCGATTGTCT